AAGCTCTTTCTACGCTATTTTCACAAGGATTGACTGAACCCACCCACAGGCAATAGTGGCGGACGACACATTTCGGCAGCAAACAAATGAAAAATCACAAACCCTTGCTGGAGTCGTCGTAGCCAATTTTCTTGACGACGTCACGAACGAGTGTCTGATAGTCGATATTTGCCTTAGATGTGATTTCGCCACACAACATGATCATACCCGTTTTAGTTACCGTTTCTGTAATCAAAGCAACTGTTCAACGGGTAATAAATCAGATGTGGACAAGCACACATAGCGTGCATGGGCTACGATGTCCTGAAACAAAGCAGATTATTTTTTTTCGTAGAATATAATCCAGTCATCATGAAGAATATGGGACTGCGTTATTGTTCGGAGGAGATACGAGATGCACCTCGTAGTACTAAAAAAATTCCAAACATAATACTCTATCTGCACATGTGATCCATCCACTTCATTGAATATGAATGAAGGCAGACTTCTGTTAATTTGCTCGTACTCTCTGAATATGAAATCGCTCTGAATGGATATCTTCGTGTTCTGATCACTTTAAGACACGACAACGAATCTACTTCCTAACTACATAACATCAAATTTCTTCATGAAAAAAAAGAAACATGTGAAATAACAAAAAATCGATGATATGACCGTTCCTTAATCTACCTACCACAAGCCACTTTCGCGTCAGGGTCAATCCTCAAATGCGCGTCAAGAACTGCGTCTGAGATCTGAAAATGATGGAGACTAATGCATTGATTGCAGTGAATAGCTAAGACATTCGTAGTTTATCCAAAGAAAGTATCTCTACTGCACACTCAGGACCGAATTTCAATTCACCTCAGCATCTTAATTCGTTTTATCTTATACGATCCACCTTTAGATTTTATTGTGCGCTTCCCAGAACTAGAACTCGACATGTCGCCTTGGATTCATCGTTTGTCTGAAATATTCGTCTTTTAGTAAGAAATCTTCAGTGACGTGCAAAGCTTCGTGCTGAGGCGAGATCGAACCCAGCAGTTCACCCAACGCGGGTACACGTGACAGCCACTTGCACTACTAAGGCTCTTCTTGTTCTGCTATCAGCCCTTTTTGCGTTACAAGGTGTCGATCGATCAGTAGTCAACCTCTGATTGATGGCATGTATAGCAGAAAGAGTGATGGAGGAACGGGCGCCTCGATAAAGCAACTGATTAGCACGTGCTCCCTGAAGGGTGAAATGCTGGTTTGATTCGCCGTCAGAGGTTCAAAGCTTTGCATATCACTCAACATTGTCGCATTTTGTCTTCTTCATGAATGTGGTAGAAGTTTGGCCGAGATGGATCTCCTTGCAAACTCGAGGACAGCCAAGCTAGGGCGTTCCTTGAGGCGTTCGTTGTTAGATTGCCGAGTGTTGAGTAAGGCGAGGACTAACCATGCGCCGAACATCATCAGCCACTACACCACTGCCCCTATCAAACTCAGCATAGGAAAAATACTTCAGTTTTTCTTGATGAGAAGATGCGTGGTTGTTAACAGTGAGCATTTATTGAAGATCATTCAGTATAAGGAAAACTAATGCCTGACGTTCGACTATCGTCATTAATGCCGTTTTTTTAGTTTTAGGCCTCCCAATTAATAATTGGAGAGAAACTGCACAGAGGAACCTTTATTCTATTGCAATGACTTGTATTCAAAGAATTCTACTCTTAACAACCTCGTATCTGCTCATCAAATGAACACTGAACTATAACTCCAATAGCTGATGATAATGAAGCAAAAGTTATGCAAGATAACCAGTACAGACACGTAAAATACACAAGCCACGTCACAGAGTTAACCCTTTGCGGACGATAAGAGGCCTCTCAAACCCTCGACTTTTCGGTCTTTTTTCGCTGAACAAACTGTTCCATCTAGGATTTCAGCAACTATGCAAGAGCTTAAATCTCGGAGGTTTCAAAACTGTGCTTTTTTTTCTGAAAAAGCCGTACGGGCGAAAATTGAACTATGTTTCACATCGATTTGCTTTGTTTGCTCAACTAAGGTCTGCGGATCAATCTTTTTTTTTTTATACTTTTTTCATTAAACTTTAGGGGTATTTCGTCAGACTATGCCAAAACTCATTGGACAGCGCAAGTCCTGACAACTCAGGCAAAATCTGGTTCTCAAAAAAGTCTTTTCTGCAAGCTGTAAGAGCAAGAATAAAACTACGTTTCACATTCAGAGTTTTCTTCGCGTACAACGATTGTATAAGCGCAAAAAGTGCATGGGCGTGTAGAAGAAATCGTATTTTCTTAAGATAGTACAAGAGATCCAGACCTTTTTTTCCGAAACAAAAAAAAAAACCTTATTAACTAACGAAAATCGCGCACTCGTTTGTGATATCGATTACGCTGCCGTCGGCAAAGGGTTAATATCAGTAAACCGAGTAACAACCCACCCTAATATCCCTGCAATTTACTCGTTCTTCTTCTTCACAAAAAATATTTTAGACTTGAAATGAAATAAAAAATCAATAATCTTTGATCGTTCCATAAGTTTTTGCCACTAGAGCAATACAATTTATTGACCAGAAGTAATTAGAACTGCATAATTTTGGTATAGCTCAATTGCGCATTTCCTTGCGAACATTTCATTCTAAAACTTGCCTTTAATTGCCTTGCGACTGAAAATTTGTCTGTTCCTCATACCCCCAGCTGACGCGAAGGGGGAAAATGCTAGTCAACAGACGCGAGAGTGCAATGAAGCTTCCTGTGAAGAGCACGAGCGCGACTGATTATCTAGTCTGTCCTTTCCAGCTTTGAACTTCGCACAAACCACTTCTTAGTCGTCCTACCTGCAACGGTATCATCGCGCCAGGCTCTATCAATCCTGTGCGCCGCGTCACCAGCATTTCCCCATAGGCGCCATTCGTGCTTAAGTAGCAAGCGAATTTGCCCCCCAGATAGCTCCATCTTAGCGCGTGAACATCGACGTTGAAGTCCCGCTTGGCACGCGGCGAACGCTACGGCTACAATCACGTGATTTTAGGTTTCTGATGAGATATGTATTTTTATCGTCACTGAAAGGAATTTCTTCGCCAGTAAATGGCAAGATATGATAGAAGAGACTTCGATAAAGCCATCTGTAACAGGAACAGTGGCGATGGTTCCTCCTGGAACCCGCATTTCAAGGAAAATCCACACAAATTCAATTACGTAAACTCTGCTCGTGAAGCGTTTTCTTCGTTAGTAGAACGTATCAAAAAGTCATTTCAAAAAATCAAACTTGGTGGGAGAATAGGCATTTCTCAAGCTATCGAATGACCACAAAAAATGGACAAAGAAGAAAGAAACGAAGTTACACAACGGCTGAAGATATGCTCCATTTCACAACAGTGCGCTCTTCCCGTTGAAACATAGATGATTATTCGATACATGAGCATTCTCTTAACTAATAAACTTTTTTAGGAGCCTTTTCTTCTATATTTCATTATCCAATCACGATAATATCCCCTCAGTAAGAGCGCATGTGGTGCAGTGGTTAGAAGTGCTCTACGTCGCACACGAGGTCAATGGTCCGATCTCGCGCTCATGGCTCACCAAGCCCTACATCCCCCAGGGGCCGGTAAATTGGTACCAACCTGGTCTCAGACTTGTCTGGGAGGATAAGCAGCACTGACTCGGTTCAACAGGAGGCCACCGCGAGTCATTGTAAAGGCCAGGTATGCATTCAATCGCCTCAAAGGAAGTTAGAAATTAAAGATGAATTCATGGCGCATCCCTCAGGGATTGATCAACGCCAAGAGCTTTATCCTTTACCCTTTTAATATCCCCTCAGCACCTCAGATTACCAAACGAATTCCCATATTTCTATTGCAAGGCGTGATAATGAAGATCCCCACCGCGTCGCGCCGCCGCACGCGCGGTGTGCACTTCGATCTAATGACAGCTCGGGTCGTTGTCAACGGGTTGAAGCTAGTCAAGGCAAGTGTATATCAAAATCTTCACAAGAAAATGCGCAACTGAACGATACACAGAATAAACGCTCTAAAGGACAAAGCTCTTGGCGTAGATCATTCCCTGAGGGATGCGCCATGCATTCGACTTCAATTTCTAACTTCGTTTGGGGTGACTGAATGCATATCTGGCCTTTAGAATGACTCCCGGTGGCCTCCCGCTGAGCCGAGTCAGCGCTGGTTATCCTCCCAGACAAGTCTGAGACCTGTCTGGTACCAATTTACCGACCCCGGAGGGATGGATGGCTTGGTGAGCCATGAGCGCGAGATCGAACCACTGACCTCGTGTGCGACGTAGAGCACCTCTAACCACTGCGCCACATGCACTTCAATACACAGAAATCATGCAAATTTAACCACTTCTGTTCCAGAAATTCGGTGTTTATTTCTCTAGTATCAAAACTTACGGGGCCGCCCGATACTTTCATATTCGATTGAAAAGGCCTAAATTACGTCAACGAACGATCGATACTCGAGCCGTGACTGTCTTCGGAGTTGAGAGGATCGATTAGACTAAAAGAACTGGGTGGACGGGACTGACCTGATCGCACATTTTGTCCGGATGACCTTCGGAAACGGACTCGGACGTGAAGAGGAACGTGCTCGCCGTCATCACTGAAAGCCGCTCGAATTACGAATAGCACTGCCACGGACAGAGAAGGGGCGGAGCCGCCCATCATGCACCGCCCCCACTCACCACAAACACGCGATCTCGCGCAACAATACACACGCAACACTCGAGAGTACGGCATAAAATGAAGGCAACACCCTCAGGGGATGGCTTTAATATAGGCCTATTGATAAGCTATTGATAGGATAAGGGGTGTCATAAGATAAGGCTGGCTAAGGCGCTCGTGTCCAGTCGCCTTTCAAAGGCTTCGAGGAAGACCTCGACAGGGGTTTTCGTGACCTTTCAGGTCAGAACGTGTTGTTCCGGGACTGTCCCAGCACACCCATAGGGTTGGAATTTTCTATTTTAAATCACTCTTTAGACCATCACTACCAGAAACTAATGAGAATAGAATAGTGCCGTTGGTTAAGCACACGCCTCTGGAAAGGGTGAAATGCGGGTTCGAGTCCCGCCTGACGTCAGAGTTTTGAACAGAATATATGAGGATACAAAAGTGAGAATTTCCATGGCGTATTTCATTGAAGATTCAGTTTATCGATCTACAGCATCTCCCTCGTCGCAGCGCTCCACATGGCGTGCGTGGGTGGAGGCGGGGGGAGGGGGGCATATTCGGTGGTTAAGATGAAGAATTCTGACGCCTAGTGGGGAGTTGTGGTCCCATTAGTTTTTTAACCCGGTACTTTCTGATTATAGAGGAACAAACGGAAAATCGATCTCATTCCTTAGAGAAGAACTTCGCATAGGAGTGTTCGAAGCTGGGGCTTGAGGCTACAGCCCCACGTAGCCGATTTTTAGAACATCCCTTTATAACATTTTAACATTCAAAATAAAATCATCTTTCATAAAACCACGTGTTTTTTTCCTCTTCCCTCGCTTGAATTTCGCTGAGTAAAACTCCTTCCCCAGAGTTCTAGTACTCAAACTATAGCACAAGCTTCAAAGAACTCAAATAAGCAGTCGCTTCTCCAAAAGCTCTTCTGATCTTTTGATCTCCCGCGGTCTTCTGATTTTTGCTTTAAAACTCACCGGATAGGGCTCTTTCTCTAGTCTTAGTAGTAATCATCTGATAGCGTGATGTATTCTGATTCTAGAGATGTGCTTATTCTCTGGAAATACGGTTTAGTAGGGAAATATAGTCGAGTTTTACATTTTTTGGTAACGTTGTTTCACAGGCTGAAGGAGATGGCGACCCGTTGCAGAGGCGTAGCAGGGGCTGGGCGAGGCGGGACTGTCGATATTTTATTTATTGATCAAATGGGAATTTTTCCTTTGCTTTGAAAGAAACTCGAATGAAACGATTGATCAAGATGCTACGAAGACTTCGCTACACTTTGATATGCCTTTCGGCTTCCAGCGAACTATACGCGCGATAAAATTGAAGGCGAAACGCGAGTGTAAAACATGATTTTTGATCTGGATGCCACATCGTTATAGATGGGTGTTTTGAAAAACCAACGACACGGGTCTTTGCCTCAAGCCTCAGCTTTCGAATGGTCACTAACACTCCTATGAATAGTTCCTCTCCAGCTAATGAGATCGGTTTTTCATTTGTTCCCTACTAGTCAGAAAGGATGTGCAACCCTTTCGAGACCGTGGATCCACGACCTCGGCATCTTACTGGAAATTCTGGACGGTCTGCTCCACCTCTTCTCCATCTCTAACCCTCAGGGTGCCATTGTTAACGTAGCAGCATGCCACTGTTTTACGCAACAGCCTGCCATTGTTAGATGCAGGACTCTGAGGGATAGAGATGTAGGGAGGTAGAACATACTGTCCAGGGTTACCAGTTAGAGATGCAGAAACCGTGGGACCACTTATTTCCTAATTGGTTAATCCTTAAGCCTAAGCCTAAGCTTGAACGTGCTCTTGTGATATGTTATCTAAAAAAAATTTTGAAAAATGGTTCAAAAATCAGTGGGTCCGCAACTCTCCACAAGAGCCAAAACTTTTAAGCGAGAGATTCTGTTGGTAAGAAGTTCACCGGAAAATATGTGACAGAACAGTGGATGATTTTCCTGGAATAATCATCAAAAAGTGGCTTTCCAAGTGGATTGCTTAGAAGCCAGACGTTGAAATTGGGAATACGGACGTCCTTTTAGCGACTAGATGTTATCTACGAAAAGATTCACGATTTATCTACGACGGCTGGTCAACGACCACGATAACAATTCGAGTCGAAATTAGAAGCTTTGTCCGTGAAACAATCTTTTTTTTAACGTTTTCAGACTTTGATTTTTGACGCCAGTGGTGAATTGTGGTTCCATCAATTTTTTGAGTCCATTCCTAAGCCTAAGCGTGCTCTCACAAATTCTTAGAAAACCAATTGGAAAAATACTTCCAAAATTGATAGAACCACAACTCTTCACGAGGGCCAAACTTTTGAGACGTTGGGACAATCTAGTTCAGCTATCTCAGGACTCTAAAGAGAATCGATTCCAACATCACTCAACGAGATTATACGCAGACAAAAATCGTCAGCAACAGGCGAGCCACATCAAAGTTGGAAGACCATGGTGATGATGGATGAGAGTAACGATCGAATGCAAAATGTACCGATTCTGCACGGCTGATGTGAAAGACGAATCGGAAATCAAAGTGGAAGATAATCGTTCCAGACTTGAAGCTTATTCTAGCAGATTGTCACGATTTACATGGAATTTTCGCCGAAACGGTAACTCAAAGTTCGGACAAAGTTCAGTTGATGGTGAGGAAGCGAAGGTAAGAGGAAAAAGCCATTCGATGATAGATAACGTAATCATGTCTGACATATCATGCTATTGGTTTGATTCTTGATCCTTGTGTTTGATAGTGTGCAGGTATTCAATAACGATTCACTTGTTTTCGTAGGAACCGTGTATCATGAGATCATTTGTGTCAAGAGGGACTATAAGCTCATGACTTGCGAATTATTCGCCGCAATTCGTCACTATGAGATCAATCGGCCGCGTTATATTCAACAATGCCCTCAAAGTTCAGAAAAATCAAATCACATGATAACTCTGTTTGCTATCGAAGTAACGAAAATCGCCGACAAGGTCATAATGATAACGGGAACGGATTTTTTATGAATTAAAAGAGGGAATACTCTACAGGGAAAGAGCTACATAGTTCATAACTAAGTTGGCATAGAAAGCAGAAACCTAATAGTTATCTAAAGACGAAAAATTTCCCGTTGTAGCGTCATTCAAAGAAAAAGCACCATTTGGCTAGTGGCTCGCTTATGCATTGGTGAAAATGCTCATAGCAAAAAATTCGCGTTTATATTCTATCTTACATCGTTAATGAACGTAATAGAGAAATGCTTAGAACACGAGAGCAGTATAATGCGTTTCAGTCTTTCATTAATTATCAATTACACCTTTGCAGCCTCTCCCTAAGAGTCTGCCTAACATCAATCTCATACAATTATTATTTTCATATTTTCCAATTATTTCTCTCATTCATTCTATCTTCTTGTTTTCTCTGGCCCATTGACCACCATTCTAATCCGCTTCAATTGTTATGCGCCCTAAGTGGCAAAAAAAATGCACGATAAAGAAGCGCTCCGGCCGGCAGTTGTTGTCATTATAGCGGCAGGATTAACGGAAATATGTACTTTTGTGCGATGCATTTCAGATGGATTAGTCGAAATGCTCTGGCAGACAAAAAATAGTAAAAAGAGATGCATTGGAGGAATTGATGGAAGATATGAATTGGGAACAACTCTAAACTTTAGACTTTGAAAGGAACTTTATCGAAGCTTTCGACAGAGGCACAGTCCTACGAATTTCTTCAATCTTTCGACGACCACGCGTACATCCTTATGTATGCACGATACAGTAACCACGGCCTCTAAGTATTTTTTGAGCCGCTTGTGCCTTTTTGAAGCCGTTTTCTCGTCTTGTGAATTGAAGAATGGAACAACGATTCTAAGAAATTAGTTCGCTGTCCTTAAGTTGATTACTGAATACTACCATTTTATTTAATTTATTTATATGACTCGCCATCACAATTTACTGTGCAGAATCCAGCAATTCTTGTATTGGACTCGTTTCCTCGTATTCATTCTTCACAACGGTTTTCAAACATTTCACGTGTTTTTTCGCCTACTGCTTGAGGATTTCTTCCGCAAGAATCTTGTAGAATGCCAGTCGAAATGATTCTCCTCATTCCTGGAGGTTGAACTAAGGCATTCCTGGTCGTTGATTGATTGCAAAAGAGTGTTAGGGGAGGGATCAAAACATTGCTCTGCTTATCACCTTTCTTCCTGACACACTGCACCACCAATCACTACGCTACCATGCCTGGGTTACAAGCTATTGATAGGCTATAAAAAGTCGTTCGAGAAAGTACGCGCATTGGAATCATTACATACGGTTCCGAACGTGCAGCAGCGTGCATATCAATATCGATGTGCATGGTCGTGAAACGGTTAAGAAAGTTAAACGATGGATGTAAAGACCTATCAAAGGATTACTTCACACTCCGCTGCAGTTGTGAGAAAAACAGTCAGTTTGGACTTGCTGAAGTTTCACGAAAGCACAAAATACCGCTCTATCTCACTTTCATCGATCTGAAGAAAGCCTTTGATTCAGTGGAAACAGAAGCTGCTATAGAGGCTCTGGATAACCAGAGCGTTCCTACTCGGTACATAATGATTCTTCGTGAGCTATATAGAGATTTCATAACCAAAATATCTCCATTCTACAAGAAAATCACCATCGAGTAAGAAAAGGGGTTCGACAAGGACGAAACATTTTCGCCAAAATTATTCACCGCCTCGTCCCCCAAGGCGTCATGCGAACATTAGAATGGGACGATATGCGAGGGAAAATTGACGATCGACAATTAAATTATCTCCGCTTTGCTGACGATATCATCCTCATAACACCAAACATCAGCCAAGCGGAACGAGTTGGCCGATTTCGACAACACTTGTGGAAGGATTGTTCCTTAACTAAATCTATCGAAAACGATGTTCATAAGGAAGGGATGGGTTTTGAATGGCCCATTGACGCTCAACGGAACGAAAATCTCCGAATGCTCCAGTTACGTCTATCTAAGTCGTGAAATCAGCATGATGAATGACCTAGCTCCAGAGTTGAGAAGGAGGAAAGAGCGGTTTGGGGAACGTTTAAGAGCATCGAAGATGTAGTGACGAGGACTAAGAACATCCGACTCAGTGCCCACCTTTTCGACTCAACAATTATCCCTGCCCTAACACATGCAGCAGAAACCTGGTCGCTACGTAAGCAGGATGAGAGATCACTTGGCGTTATTGAATGCGCAGTCGAAAGGTCGATGCTAGGAGTATCCCGTACCTCGCAATTGAGAGGAAAGGTCTAAAGTTCCGACCTACGTCACAGACTGAAGATCAAAGACGCCGTTGTTCACGCAAGGATATCTAAAATAAGGGGGCTGGACACGTGATGCGCTTCAAGGACGATCGACGAGAGCCGTTACCGACTGAATTCCTCGGGGC